AGATCACAAGGTGGTCAAGGACAGCTTCATCTGTACTTTTGTTTAATGGATGCATTGATGATGTCCCTAAAAGGTTGGCAGAAACAGTGCAGATGCTTCTTGAGGGGAAAGTGACTTAACTCTAGGCCTTGGAAAATCCCTGGACATAATATTTCAATGTCAATGAGCAATTACACAGAGATAAGAGACAGATGAAGATATAAGGTACTCTAAGAACCTGTAGAATGAGGCTCCCAAATAATTCGATATTGAAATTATTACTCTCAGATAATGAAACTATATTCAAAGAATTAAAAGGTTATTTTAAATAAGATTGAAAGTAACAGGAACATAAATGAAGTGACATAAAATATTTAAAAGGAAAATTAGTGCAGTGTCTACACAAGAAAAATATAACCACCCAATAAAAACTTGGTGGATGCATTTGGCTAGAGATTGAATACAGCACAACAGAAAAACAGTGGATTATAATATAGATCATGAGAAATTATACATATACTATTTCATGAATAAAAATGAAAAAATTAGAGAAACTATTTTTAAAAAGACATGGAGGATGGAGTGCAAAGGTCTGAGTCATCTTCAGTTATACTTCCATTAAGGGAAGAGAGAAAAGACTCAACAGAGACAACATTTACAGAGATAATGGTAAGAATATTGTATAACTAACAAAATACCTAAATTTACAAACTCAAGCAGGATTTTAAAAAGTTGACACTTGGCCACTTACTGGTGCTAATCAGAAAAATAAAGGCAAAAAGCAAGGCTGGAGAATCACTAGAAGCCAGGAGTTCAAGACCAGCCTGTGCAACACACTGAGACCCTGTTTCTAAAAAAATACAAATACATTAGCTGGGCATGGTGGTATGAACCTGAAGCACCACCTACTCAGGAGGCTGAGGTAGGAAGATTGCTTGAGCCCAGGTAGGTGTTCATGGCTGCAGTGAGCTATGATTGTGCCACTGTGCTCCTGCCTGGGCGACAGAGTGAGATCCCATCTCTAAATAAATAAATAAATAAAATACATATTTTTGCTAAAAGGATTAGCAGTTAGAACAGCTAATTCCTCAATAACAACAAAGGAATGTGGAAAACAGAATATGATTCATATGCTAAAAGAAAATAATTGCCCTTCTAGAATTCTATACCTAATGTGGTTTCAGCCTTTTGGAATTTCAACATAAGATACATTCTCCTATTAGAAATCACATCTCTGGTTGTTCCTGGGCTTTGATTTCCATCCCTGTTGTCTCAAGATAGACAACTATCTTCATGGTAAAAGTAGCTTCAGTTAGCCTGTTTACTCCTCTGGATTCATGGTATTCTTACTATCTTTCCAATCCTTGGTAGCCTTAATGAATTTTTTTTTTTTTTTAATTCACACATTTCATGCCGTATTTTTAGTTGAGGGGAGTGGGTAGAAATAACCACTGGAGGCTGAGGGAAGAGAATTTTTCCCAATATATGGAAGGACTTTTCAATTATTATTTAGTTCCTTAGTTTCTAAATAGGCAAGGCATCCCACAGTGCTCTCTATCTGAAGACAACAACTAATGCAGGATTTAGGATGGTCAGATCAATAATCAAGGTGGAATCCACTGAAGAAGTAAAACTGGGAAAAGAAGACAAGCAAGCAACCTTGAATGTTTCATTGATGACTAATTTTATTTTAAGACCACCCTATTTTTAACCTGTATATTAGCATATTAAAGTATGCAAAAATAAAGGACACAGGAATAATGTGGAATATATTTAAAACACACCTAATAAAAATTAGAGGTATTTCAAATTAACGAGAACAGAATTTTAACAAGTTAAAATTGGAGGATTTCTTGGATTTTACAGAATAAAAATAAATGAAAGGAAACGAACAGACTTGAGTATATAATGTCTATTTTTTAATACCGCTAGCAAGAGCTCGAATATAAAAAAGCAAATAATATGAAAAAATATATAAACAGTATGAATATGAATGCACGCTTAATCTCACTAAATGCTAAGAAGTGCAAACTTAAGCAAACAAAACGCCTTTTTTCTCCTTCAGAAGATGGCAAAAAGATAAAACGAGAGGCTTTCAGCTACTCAAAGGGACAAACCCAGGACGCCGGAGATACGGCCAGGTTCGGCGGGACACCGCTCACCCGGCGTTCGAGCCCAGCCACCCCGGCGGAAGCGGAAGTGCGCCCAGGGTGTCCGGGGGCCTGTAGTCCGTGCTGCGTCCGCTTCCGGTCACCCTGCCTGCGTTCTGCGAGGTCGGCTAAACCTGAGCCGAAGGTGGCTTTAGGCCGCGCTGGGCTGGAGCCGGCCCGGGTCTTACGCGTTGGGGGTGCACCGGGCGCAGAGGTGGAATGAAGGGGTCGGCGGGTGGGGCTGTAAGATTGAAAGCGGTGCTCCCGCGGTGAGCGCCCGCGCGGGGACGCTCATCTCCGGGCTGGGGGCGAGTGCGCGAGCGCACGCTCCCTAGTCAGGTGGGCATCATCGAGTTACCTGCCCTCGCGCTCTCTCAGATGAGACCCAGCCTGCGTCCTGGGGGCCTGGCGGGTTTGCGTCTTTCCGCAAGTTTTAAACATCTAACAGGGAAGCCAAACCAAATGACTCAGTTCAGACCACCGTGAGAGTAATTGCTTTACTCCCCACCAGCAAGCTAACTTTGCTGTCCTGTGATCGGAATCGGAGGCCACGTGTCTCCTATTAAACTTTGGGTCCCTTGTACAGCCTTTTTCCAGCCACTTTCCTTAAGTGAGTCTCTTCTTGTGTACCTCAGGCATTGTCCGACAGTATTGCCAACCTCAGGGCTTCAGGTGGGTCTGGCAACAGGCAGAGCTTGCTGGGACCCACCTGCTGAGGCCATTTGCTCCAATCCTGAGTGAACTAGGGCAGACCATGGCTTTCACAGACTGAAATCCACCAAAGCACTGACCCTTTAGCTTGTGGAGTAAGTCTCCATCACTTGACAAGTATGGAGAGATTGAATTTTGGTTCTCAGTAAATATCTCCCTAAAGTAGAGGTTTCTCTGCGTATAGAGTCCCTGCTGCAAACGCAAAATTCAGATTCTAGATAGTGGAAGAGAAAAACACCCTAAGCAGTAAGAATGTCTTTTGAAAGGAAACATCTGACCTGAGACCCCTTGTAACAAGTTAAAAGGATAACTTAGAGTTTGCAAACAGAAAAGTCTGAAATTTCTGGGTCTGCACTCTTCCTGGACTTTCTGATCCAGGAAGATGGGTGCTTGGGGCGAGGTACCACATCCACAAAGAGGGAGGCAGTGGGCAACTTAACCTAAAAGCTTGAATCATGGATGGGAAAGGAACAAAAATCTTTATAAGGTGAGGAAAAAAAGGGCTCAGATGGGGGGATGGCTAATGATCAGTGGATTAAAACGTTCGCTATATCCTGAAGCCCAGATTGGCTGCTGTGAGCCTACCTGGTCACTGGGTCACTCATAGCTTCTTTTTTCTCTGCCAGCCCACTTTCTCTAAAGAAGAGGGCCATGACCTAGTTACTGGTGAATTTTTTTTTTCCCTCTTAAAATGCTGTATTAATGACTCAGAGTTGACTGATCATTGCTTCTTTCTAGAAAAAGGAAGATGGATTAGCATTCACTAAGCACCTATTGTTTGTCAGGTGCTTTTAGGTACTTTACCAACTCCTGTAAAAAGTAGATGATAATTATTTTGATTTTAAGGCTAAGGAGAAACTCTCAGAGATAATAAGAAAAGTGCTTATAGTCATAAGTTGCTAAGTTTTATTTAATGAGTAATTTGTGGGAAAGTATTTTGGGGATTTTTAGATTTCTTGTTTATCAAACTATTGCATATAACATTCTTTGGTGCATAATTCAGTTATTACTATAAAGGCTGCAAAATGGGGACTAACTATTATACGTTCTACATTTGTAAATGTTTCTTCTATGAGGAAGAACTGTCTTTTCTATTTTATTTATTAATTATTTATTTAAGTTGGAGTCTCACACTGCCGCCCAGGCTGGAGTACAGTGGCATGATCACAGCTCAAGCAGTCTCAACTTCCTGGCCCCAGGAAATCCTTCTGCTTCACCTTCCCCAGCAGCTAGGACTACAGGTACTCACCACCATGTCTGGGTTTTTTTTGTTTTTTGTTTTTATTTTTTTGTGGCGACAAGGTCTGCCTGTGTTGCCTAGGTTGGTTTTGAACTCCTGTACCCAGACATTCCTCCTGCCTTGGCCTTGCAAAGTACTGGGATAATAGATGTGAACCCATGGATTTTTTATTTTTCTGATTGGTGATTATCTGTTACCATCATTGCATTTCATGCTGAAATTACCCAGATTTGTCCTATAGGAGATCATTCAAAATGGCTTCTGTGTCTGTTTGACATATACCTATCACTTGTAAAAGTTTTTCCTTATTTTTTTAGCACAACAAAATATTTTAATGCTTATTTCATTCTTTCCCTGTTCCAACCCTGGATTCAGTCATATCTCCAAAGATCCTTGGCTCCCTTTAGTGGAGGATGGAATTGTAGCCCAATCTGGATGCTAGGTATACACATTGCTACTGGAGTATCATTGTTTATAACCCTCCCAGTGGACAAGTCCTCATAAGGACTTGCATACACACACATTAATATCTGTCTATATATCTAAAACCATTCTCTTATATTGATACTACTCCAATACCATGGTTTTTGTTCATGTCTTTATCCTTGCTGTGTTTGTAACTCATTTCTCTAACATGAGAAACCTAGTTCCCATTATCCTAAATCTATTTATTCATTTGCCCAATCCTAGAATCCTGGTTTTCGTAACCCATATGCCTGACCTGTGAAAAACCTACTAACTATAATTCAGTATTTGTTTATGGTTCTTATTATCCTAAGACTGTGGACATATCAGTCAAAATTCAGATTCAAATGTCACTTGGGTAAGTTTCTTCCCCTATCATGTGGATATGTTATTCCTTTGAAAATAGTTTTGTTTCTTTTTGTTTGTATTTCAGTTATAGGTGGAATTGTATCCCCTCAAAATTTTTATGTTGAAGCCCCAGTACCACAGAATGTGACCATATTTGGAGAAAGAGCTTTTAAAGAGGTGAGTAAATTAAAATGAGGTCATTGAGGTGGCCCTAATCCAATCTGAGTGACATCCTTATAGATGAAATTTGGATACAGACATGAACAAAGGTAGACCATATGAAGACATAGGGAGAAGACAGCTATCTGTAACCCAAGGAGAAAGGACTCAGGGGAAACCAAACCTGCAACACTTTATCTGGTACTTCCAGCTTCCAGAATTGTGAGAAAATAAATTTCTATGATCTAAGCTACCTAGTATGTAGTATTTTGTTATAGCAGTGGCAGCCCAGGCAAACTAATACAATTCCATCTAGAAATTTCCCTCCATTTTTCTTACTTTTTTTTTTTTAGTTTTATGGGACATGAATTCAAAATTAATAGTTCCACAACTCAGAATTACACAAAAAAGAATTCTCATAGAATTATAATTCTTCATTTTCTTTTCCATTTCTTCCTCATTCAATCCACCCCTTATCAGATTCAGTTTTATTCTTTATATACGTTTCCTTGCAAAATAAGCTAATACTTGTACATTTTGTTAGTTCCTATTTTATATAAAAGGTAACATATTTTGTATTTTTTGCATTTTACTTGTTTCACCTAACTATATTTTGAAAATCACTTCAAGTCTATTCAATGAGATCTTTCTTGATTATTATTATTTATAGCATCAGAGGGTGCATTGGGTATTATATTAGTTGCTAGGGCAGCCATAATTAAGTACCACAAACTGGGTGGCTTAACAGAAATTTATTCTCTCACAGTCCTGGAGCTAGAAGCCTGAGATTAGGGTACTACCATGGTTGGTTCTATATGAGGTCTGTGAGGGTGAGTGTATTCCATAACTCTCTGCTGGTTTATGGTAGTTTGCTGACAATATTTGGCATTCCATGACTTATAGACACATTACCCCAGTCTTTTCACATGGCATTCTCCATCAATGGAAGTCTAACTCTGTATCCAATTTCCCCTTCCTATAAGGATACCAGTCATATTGGATTAGGGCCCATTCTAATCACTTTATATTAACTTGATGATCTACAAAGACCCTATTTCCAAACAAGGTCACATTCACATGTACTGGAGGTTAGGATGTCAACATCTTTTTGGGAGACACAGTATACCCATAACAAGTATGCACCATACCTTATTCATCCACTCTATTTTTTTTTTTTTATTGAGTTGGAGTCTCACTCTGTCGCCCAGACTGGAGTGCAGTGGCCGCTTCCGGCCACCGCAGCCTCGACCTGCTGGGCTCCGGCGATCCTTCCTCCTCAACCTTCTGAGTAGCCGGAATTACAGGCATGCGCTACCACACCCGGCTAATTTTTTTTTGATTTATTGTAGAGATGAGATCTCGCTGCCCCAGGCGGGTCTCGATCCCGCGGGCTCAGGCAGTTCACTCACCTCAGCATCCCAAAGGCGCGGGATTACAGGCTGAGCCACCGAGCCCGGCTCATCCACTCTATATAAGAGCATTTCAATAGTTTTAAATTATAAACAATGCTGCAATGAGTTATGCAAATATATTTTCATATTATTAGAAATGTGCCTTTCTATCTATATGGTTCAGAAGTGTTAAAATTTAGTTTGTACTTTCTGTACATTACTAATTAAGCTTATTCTTCAATTATTTTTACTATCATAGTGAGACTTTTCTCTCTTTGTTTTTTCTAAAGGTTATTAATTATGTGTATGAAGGCTAATGATTTTGTTGGGTAACTTTATATCATATTGCCTTACTGAATTTACTATTTGAGCTAGTTTTATTTTTTTTATTGAGCCCTCCACAGAGGAATGTGTGTTTTCAAATAGAGATACTATCACATTATCTTTTCCAACTTATATCCTCTAATTGATTTCTGTGACCTGATTTTATGGGTATTTGCATGTAAATCTCGTATGCTTGTATTGATGAAGTCACTAATTAGTTGAAGGGATTATTTTGAGGATCTTTTGGGAATTTCCTCAGTTCATTATGTCATTTTCAAATAGTCACAGTTTCGTTTCTTCCTGCATAATCTGTATATCTTTTTTTTTTCTTGACTTACCATGCTTTCCAGAAATTTTAGTACCATTTGTACAATAGTGGTGAGAAGTGGACATCCTGGTGGTTTCCTTATACATATACATTCTTTCTTTGAATAGCATGTTACCTATAGGTAACCTATAGTTTTTATCATGAATATGTGTTGAATTTTTTCTAAAACTCTTTCTGTATCTGTGGGTATGATCATGTGATTTTTCATCTTTGACATATGTATATGGTAAATTACATCAATTTAAAAAATATTGAAACATCTTTGCATTTGGGAAAGGAATCCGTCTTGTTCATGCCGTACAATTCTTTTATATGTTGTCAAATTCCCTTATATTTTACTGAGAGATTTTGTATCTATATATAGAGGGCCATTGGTTTATGATATTTTTGTATTTTGTTTGTCTAATTTTGGTATAAAGGTTATTGGTTTCATAAAACAAATTGGGAATCAGTCCTTCTTTTCTGTTTTCTGGAAGATAATGTGTAGGATTGGCATTAGTTCTTCTTTACACATTTAGTAGAATTTCGTTGTGATTCTGTGTGTATCTGGAGATTTTTTTTTCAGGAGTTTTAAAATTATGAATTTAATTTTCTTAATAATTACATGATCACTGCTGTTCAAATTGTCTATTTCTTAATAACAGGTGATTTTGGTATTTTAGGAATTAGTCCATTTCACCTTCTCAGGTTTATGTCTGTAGAATTATTAATAATTTCTCCTTAATATAATTTTCGTATCTTCACGTAGGTATTATATCCCCTGGCACAGTCTTATTGATGATTTGTGTCTTCTCTTTTTAAATTTTTCTTAGTCATATTAGAAGTTTATTGATTTTCTTGTTATTTTCAAAGAACCAGCATTTTGTTTCATTGATTTTTTTTTCCTCTATTTTTTTCTTTTCACTTGCATGATCTCATCTTCATTATTTTTGATTGCTTTGGTTTCACTTTGCTCTTATTTTTATTTTTGATGTGAAAGCTTAGATTAAGATTTAATGTTTTCTTTTAGTGTTGTAGATTTCCATCACAGCACTAGTTTAGTTGTATCCCTAATATTTCCATTTGCTGTATTTTCATTTTCTTTTATGTATGTTTATTTTTATTTTTAATTTATTTTAATTTTTTTGTAGACATGGATCTTGCTCTGTTGCCCAGAATGGTCCTGAACTCCTGGCCTTAAGTTTTGTTATTTTTGTTTGTTAGCTTTTATATCTTATGAGATGAGAATTCATGTTTGACCTTCGGATTATTTGGAAGTGTGTTGTTTAGTTTCCAAGTGTCTTATTGATTTCTAGTTTGAATGCATTGCAATTACAAAACACACTCTGTACGATTTCAGTTCTTTTTGTGTCCCAGGTCATCATCCCAAAAGTCCCTTTAAAGATCTGTCTGTTCTATTACTGTTTCAATTTATTGATCAGAGTAATACTTATGTTCAGGTTCACTGGTTCTTTTATGTATATTCTCATTCTCCCAACCAAATATTGCTTCAAAAATTGTCAGGCCCCTAGCAGCCCTTCCTGTGTCTGTAGAATAAATGTAAGGCTTCTGCTTTTGATGGTAAATTCATTTGATTTTTCCCCTCAATCTCCCTACTCCCTGTTTACCCGCATATCTCCATCTTCTAATGGTGCCTGTTAAATTATGGCCCATCATCATTGTTACTGTCATTATAGGCCTCAATTGTTTTTCAAAGGGATCTTATTTTTTTCTATCAACAAGATAAACTCATTTAGGAAGAGATATTTAAACATTGTTGTTTGTAAGCTAAAAAAAGGAATAGTTTGAAAATTGACAAAAAGTAGGGCTAATTTGCGCGTGAATTCATAGAGAATACTAGAGGATAAAGCATGTAGAACAGAGGATGAGAGAACAAATGGAAGGACAGCTTGTCCCTTGAGGCAGGCAGGAAATATATGTGGATCAAATTAGTACATTTATAAAGAGTTGAAATTCGCACTGCTCAACTTCTCTTTCAGATAGCTGCCACATGAGCACTGTCAGAAATATTTCTGTACATGGCCTCTGTCTTTCCTGTGACTGTCAGTATCACACTTTATGTTGTGAATATGTTTTGGATAGCTAATAGAGGATAAATATTCTTACATTTCTAGAGCCAGTGACACTCACAGATGTTGTTGTGAACTTTATTGAGGAGGAGTGAAAACACTGAGTCCTTCGCAGAGGAATGTGTACAGAGAAGTGATGCTAGAAAACTGAAGGAATGTGATCTGTGTGGGTAAGGACAATTTTCTTTTGTAAATGAAAATTTTCCTATGAAAGTTCTTTGTTTACTCAGTTGTTAACAGCCATAAGTTTTCACAGTATTTTACTCAGCTGGGCTTTATTGTCTTAAGCCAAAGGTTTCCAAGTCCAGTTGCCCCCTAAAACATAGGCTGTTTCTAATCTATTTTACCCCATGTGCATTGTTGTTTATTTTTTAAGAGTTGATAGGAAGAACTTTCTATTCCACTCCTGTCTGAAACCTCCCTGTAGCCAAATAGGGACTAGGACTGAATTTTTGGATATTTGTTACATCTTTCTTTCCCTGTAAGTAGGGTATCACCTCTTCAAAGCCAGTGTTCTCTCCCAGCAGGAGGCGGAAGAAGAGAGATGGATGATGAGCAGAGAGGCCCTTGCTCAGGGGAGAAATAGAACCATGACATTCTTACAACTGGTGAATCAGAGGCCTTTCTTCACATGTTGGCTGAGGTATCTCATAGTCATCTCTGTTTTCACTTATTTTTTATCCTCCTATCCTATTAGTTTCATATTTCTCAGAGGAAGATGTTTTCTTCCTTAATTAAGATTTATTTTTGTTTTCAAACTTCCTGCCTATCTCTTCTCTTCTCAGCCATCTCTTCTCACCTGTCTCTTCTCTCACCTCTCCTCTCTCCTCTGTGATTTTGCAGGCATGATGGTGCCTTCTCATTCCAGTATTATTGTCCTCATGATCATAGTCTTCTTTCTTTAGTCATTCATCTTGTCGTAATTCTTTGTCCCTATAAATATAAATACACATAGTGGATATTATCATATCTCACTGCTTGGGGGTAGGAATTGGTTAAAACTTTCTGAAAAGAAGTTTAGTCCCAGGTATTAAGAGTTTTAATGATAATGCCCTTCATATTAGCTAGTCTTCCATTCAGTGGATATAATAGAGGTCCAGAGAATGAGTCATGAACAGTTCTGTTCCCTTGACATTATAGGTAACTGATTTCAACATCGTGATTTTGTTCATGTGAATTATGACACATTCAAACATTGAAAAATTATAATGTTATTGGAAACATATTCACAAAAAATTTTAATAATAGGTGGTAGTGCATTATGTAAAGATTGTAAGATACGATATGATATTTTATCTACATTTAGATTTAGAAATGCAATACGGGAAATCTAAGTGTAGATAAAATACCTTTCAATTGGTATTACATGCAAGTATCTGCAATAAATTGTAGCTCATGGTTTTACATTGTATTTTTATTACTGCTTAATTTTTACATTTTTTCCTGTAGTTACTGACCCTTTCTTTTTGTCTTTTATACATTCTTTGTCCTTTTTATTTGTCCATTGTTTTCTTATTAATGTGAAAATCTGTTTCAAGAATACAAATCTCTGTTGTGCAGTACCACTACCTGCATGTGGTTCTTGAGGCAATTGAAATGTGACCAGTTCTCATTGAGATATGCTCTATCATGAATGTGTGAGTATAAAATTCACCCAGATTTTAAAGACTTGACAAGAAAAGAAAGAATGGAAAGCATCTCATTAACATTTCTTATGCTGATTACATTTTGTAGTGATGATATTTTGGATATACTGGATTGAATAAAATATATTTTGAAATTAATTTTACCTCTTCCTAATTTTTTAAAATGTGGTACTGGAAAACTTAAAAATAAATACATGTGTGGTTCACAGCATTTGTGGCTCTCATTATATTTCTGTTGGAAAGCACTGATGCAAATAGTTGATTCCTGTATATTTTGACCATTTCCCCTACTTTTGCTTCTTCGTTTTTTGGGGGTTGTTCATTATGATTACAAAAAGAAAACTTTCTTGGTGAAAACATCCAAACCATACAGAAATGAAAAAAAAAAGTCTGCTGTAAATAATATTCTTCCATTCCTCCAAAATCTCATTGTTAGCTAATGTTAAGCCATTTGATATAGAATCTAGGATACGGTTTGTATAGTCTAAGGTTCATGTGTGGAAGCATAATTTTCTGCCTTCACCCAGTAGTTACCCGCGGGCTAAGATCCTAGCCCTGTCTTCTGAAATATTCCTTTCCTCCACCCAAGTTGGATTCCTAAATTGGGAAAAGTAATGCCTCACCTTTATTTTTTAATGAGAGAGGATTCATTATAATAGACCAGGTTATGTAATACAGTAGCAAAACACCACCTATTTGTAGTAGTGATATGAAACTGAGTGTTCTCGTCTGGGGCTCTGCTGATGCTAACCACTGCCCGTGTTGTTAAAACTGAAGCATCTAATTTTCCCAAGAATTTGCCCCAGGTTCTAGCTAACTGGTAATTTGGTTGAAGTGGTATTGTGTCTGTGGAGACTACATCTTGTGCATTGGTTCATATGTTTGGTTTATTGACTTCAAAGGGAAGCTTGCCTCAGTGTGGTTGATTTAAATGCCAAGCTTTCGTTTTATAATTTAAACAACACACACACGCGTTTGTAAAGACAGAATCCTGCTTTTGGTCAGAGTCATACAGAATGTGTTGCAGATAAGGAGACTTGTATTTATTAGTTGTTTCATTGCCATGGAGAAAACCATGCCAAGTAAGAGGAAGAAGTATGGATTAAGGATGTAGATTTGCCCCTATCGGACAGGAGGAATCCCAGGTTCTGTGTGGATAATTGGAATTTAGATTGAGATGGTAAGGGTCATTCTAGGAAAAGTTCTTCTGATAGCTTAGATTTTTCTTTATCTTCCACAACTTATCTCAATTATTGGTCTAATATATATTTTTCTTCCTAATTTGAGATACTATCTTTATCAAATGCTGTTAATTCATTTAATAAATGCTTAGTGAGCCCCTACCATGTGCTGGGCACTGCTGTTTTTTGTTTTTGTTTTTGAGCTGGAGTCTCACTCTGTCGCCCAGACTGGAGTGCAGTGGCCGCTCCCAGCCACTGCAGCCTCGACCTGCTGGGCTCCGGCGATCCTTCCGCCTCAGCCTTCCAAGTAGCCGGAATTACAGGCATGTGCTACCACGCCCAGCTGATATTTTGATTTATTATAGAGATGAGGTCTTGCTGCCCAGGCGGGTCTCGAACCCGCGGGCTCAGGCAATCCACTCACCTCAGCCTCTCAAAGGCGTGGGATTACAGGCTGAGCCACCGAGCCTGGCTCTGTTTTTTTTTTTAGCCTGGAGGTATAACAGAGAATAATACATATAAAATGCCTTTTCTCATAGAGCTTGCATTTGAGTTGAGGGAGGAGGGCGCAGAAGGATTGAGGAGACAAACAGTAAATAAGTAGAACATTAAACAATGATGGCTTGGGATTTAAATCAACCACACTGGGCAACAGTTCTCTTTGAAGTCGATAAACCAAATATATGAACCAATGTACAAGATGTTGTCACCACAGATACAGCACTACTTCAACCAAATTACCAAAAGCAGAGTTTTATGAGAGTGACTACGGTGGATGACTGCTATGAATTGAGTCAGAAGGAAAGACTTTACCAGATGATGCCATTTACATTGAAACATGAATGACAGAAGGGAGCCAGCTGTTCAATACCTAGAATAAGAATATTTTAGAGTATAAGACAGGAACAAACTTGGAGGATCCTGGGAAGTATGGCTGGAATATCATGAGTGGTAGGGAGAATGGTAGAAAGTGGGATCAGAGAGATAGACAGGGATCAGATGTTGTAGAGCTATGGGACCCAGGTGAGGAATTTAGATAGGAGGGGAGACATCTGGATTATAGGGAGACAAGAAGATCCATGTGAGATCTTTTGGGGTAGTCTAGGTGAAAGATAACCAGGGCAATAGTGTTGGAAGTGAAGGTGGAAATAAGTAGATTTGAGATATAACAGCAGGATTTGGTAAAGTTAACAGGAATCTTTGGTTATTCAGATGTAGGAGGTAAGCTAAGGAGAGGATATAATATATTTAAAATTTTGGTTTGAGTAATTATGGAGATTATAGTGAAATTTACAGAAATGGGGAAGTACATGACATATTTTGGGAGATGGGCTGAAAGTCAAGAATTCTGTTTTGGACATACTAAATTTGAGATGTCCATTTTATATACAAATGAATAAGTCAGGTAGACAGTTGGGTTTAAGAGTCAGATTTCAGAATGGAATCAGGCATGGAGATAAATTTGCAAGTCATTGTCACACAGGTGGTAGTTACAGCCATAGTACTGAATGCTGGATGACATACAGAGAGAAGAGTTCCAGGACGGACTTGAAGTTCAGCTCAAAGACCTCATTGCCCTCTTCTCTTATTGATCCTGAGTTATGTGGAGTCAGTGGCTAAGTTTCCTGATGCTATTATTTCTTTTGAATTTTTATGCATATAAAATTTTATCTTTCAACTGATTTTTAAAAATGTGCAGAAGATTTGCATGGCAGTTAAACACTTATTATAATTTCAGGGCCCTTGTAATGTGGCCTTCCTTAGTGTAAGCATTTTCAATTTAGCCAGTTGTCCTAAAATTATCTGTGGATACGCTTTCTTGTGTTTGAGCCTGTTTGTTATGTGTCCATTCCTTTTCTGTATCTGTTGTGCACGAGTTAAATTCAGTTTCCATTTTTAAACTTTTTTAAATGAAACATTTGACTTCTTTAGTCTGGACCGACCACTCACATCTCAAAACAATTATTGCAGTTACAGCCTTACATTTAACTACTTACTGTTTTGTGTGTGTGTGTTTGTTTTCACTGATGATAATAAATATCCTTTAAAAAATTATATAACTGTGAAAGTAGCAGTTATAGAAAAATTAAATTACTTAAATAAGGTACATGACCAGTAAGTGGTAGGGCCAGAATTCTAACCTGTGAAGTCCAGTTATGCTTGAGGTTGAACATTTCTTTATTCAGAAATCTTACAATCTTCAAATAAATCCTTTACATATTCTCATTATTTAATTATTTTTATTCTTAAAGAAATATCAATTAAGGCATCCAGAACTGGGACTGCTGTGGTGAATTGTTAAGGGGATATTGTCACAAACTTGGCAAATCAAGAGCTTTTTCCTTGGAAAGACAAAGGCTGGTGCATTTCCTTGATTCCTTTTTCAGTGATTGCCAAAATTCTGAGGGAAGCAGTGGTCATTTTTTGACCCAACAAAACACCAAGGGCAAAGTACCTTTGAGGAAAAATCATTTCATGGAAAGAGGTTCAAAGAAGTGCCAAGATCATCTTGCATTCATTGTTTGAGAATGAGATAATAAGTCAGAGTAGCCGAGCAGTAGGGCTTGTGCAACAGCACACCTGTGTGTGTGGTGTGCGTAAGATCACTTGCTCGTGAAAATCACAGTTTGTCATTTGTAGTTATCAGAAGCCCCATGCAAAATTGAAATAGAGTAACTGAAAATCTCCTTAAGAAAAGTTCAGATTTTGAAAAAAAAATCCATATGGTTGATAAACAGTTTAAAAATGATCAGTGGGATAATGGCTTAGGTTTGAACTTACCTCAATATAGTGATGCCACAGGAAACACAAGAGAGAGGTCTCATCAGTGTAATGATTGTGGAAAAGATTTCAGTGGAAAATCAAAACTAAATCAACATAATGGTCCACACAGAGAAGAAACTTC